TATATATATAAACACACACACACACACACTGTATGCGCTTTGACACAGCTATTTTAAACATTTAATGAAAAAAGTAAACCAGCACGTGCAGACTATGTACAGCCTGGTTTTAATGAGTGCATATGCTCAATTGCTGATTTAAAGTTGTTTTTTTTCCCCCACAGGGAATTGAGGAGGATTCATTTATACTCAATTAGGTTTGTGTCTTTCTTATATTAAAAACTAACCAACCAAAAGGGGGAAAAACCTAAAGCACTACTCTACCTCACAGCCAGGGGAGTCCTCTTCCCACTCCATTAAGTGTCCCTCCCAAGCGCATACTGCCCTCTCTCACATGGAGAGCAGCAGCTGTCTCCCAAAATTCACTCATCATTCCCCCCACCTCCAAAACAAACATACACACATTATTCAAGCTCCTGATGCTGGGAGCTGTGATCAGCTGAAGCCTGCCCACATGCGCAGTTTAAGGTGCAATGGGAACCAGCCAAAGTTATTACACATACTTTGCATAATAATTTTGGAGCTTATTCCTTGTTTTATCACATCATCAAATGCATTAACGCATAGCCAGGGTACTACTTAAGACATGATTAAGTGGTTAATCATATCTTACGTGTAATGTCTGCGAGGGGCATAAGTGTCACTTTCAGTGGCATCCACCCCACGGTGGCCTGCAGTCCCTACAAAGCCTGCAAGCTCATTCAGCCCCTCCCCTTTCCAGCTCAGGTGGCCATGTGGTGCCTGCTCTGGGCCCACATACTGTTATGGATCTCAGAGCGACATTAACTTTGTCGCATGTATTGCTTTTATTGCTGCAATGGTCTTAATATATACCACAGGACATAGCTATATTTGGCTATGATTCCCAAAACATCTATCTTCACTTTGCATATAAAAGTCTTATCCATAAGTTTTCCTTTAACAAGTTTTTGCATGTTTTCTTAAAGAAAAGGACAGAAACAAGATGCTGGTATATTTGAATCGCATATATTTAAATGTGCAATCTAATACTTGCAAAGTCGTATGCCACTTATGGGGCGCAGCTACACATTGCCCTACAGCGACGTAGCAATTGCTACATCACCATATGGCGCACTACAGCGACATTGTTATCACGTGGGTCTATACGTGATTGGCAGCTACGTCGCCATAGTAGTACATGCCCCAATTTTAGCACGCCACTATGATGATATAGTGGTGAAATTTAACTGTGCAGTACAGGCAGTTACTACGCCATGCTTTAGTACTTCCAAAGGGAAGTCCTAAAGTACGGCACTGTAGCAATGTTGCCGTACGGCGACATGTTGACACACCCATTTTGTTGAAGCTTTCTGTTCTTCCCAGCTTAGAAGTTTGGCATCCCTTGAAGAAGGCTATTTACTAAAACTCCATTCAGCTCAAGAACAATAAACGAAGCAATTCAAATTTAAATGACATTCACCAGAAGGTGAACCTAATCATACAGTTTCCCATTTCAGGGTCCTATAAGGATACTACTGTAACAAGCGATCTCAGCTCCCACCAACTCCAAAGAGAGTCAAGAGCACTTGTTAATCACTTGTTCAATCCTACTGGTGTTTTCACATCAACATGCGACTTAGAAGTTCTTTGTTAAAGGGAACATGCATATAAACCACAGACACTCATTGCTCTTTGGCTATATTTTTCCACGTCGCACTTACTGCAAGAATCTCATCAAGGAGAGTAATGGCAGCAGCGTAATCCTCCCGGCGGTACTCAGAAAGGGCTTGTGAATGCAGTCGCTGCAGCTCATCGGATTTCATCAGCCGAGACCGGGCTTCCTGTTCCTCATTATCACTGGGATTAGATTTGAGCTGCAAGTATTAATGAGTAGAGAGTGAATCATGGGGTCTGAGGCTCTTTCTTTGTTCCATTAACCCTCCTATACCATGGAGGACAAACTACAGATGCTGCCGAAGTGGAACAAGTCTTAAAAATTCCCTTGGAAATTCTTCTAATTGGATGAAAGTAGAAAGTTCTTTGCTGCTGCATAAGCTGCTGTAACCCAAAGAACTCCAGTTTTTTTCTCTCCCAGGCTGACAATTCATCACTTTGACACTTCATTCCCATTAACCTGGGCCCTCCTGGAAGTAATATACCCCTTCAATTGTACCCCGGTTAATCCATCTCTCCCCCATTAGACAGCTACCAAGCACGGATGCTTCAAGGGCAGGAGAGGATGTACCCGCTGACTGATTAGACGCCGCACTGCAAATCAGGTGTGAATTCATTAATACAAAGTTCAGCACTGTGGCTAGTGTTCTCATTGAAATTCAGTTTTCACACATCTTCCTAGAAAGGTTGGCCATGGCATTAGATGCAGATGCTTTAGACTTGGAGGATGGGGAACAGGATCATCTGAGAACTCATGGAGTTTAGAAGTCAAGAAAAGTCAAACTTTACATAAATCTTTTACAGACAAAATCTTACAGACATAAATGATAAAGATACCCTCTCTGCCACCAGAGGACATCGAGTACAGATTCTCCTAGATGTCACTAAGAGCTTCCCCTTTTAAAACCCAGGAAGCTGTCAGTGTGGGGCTGGAGCGTTCTGAGCAAAGTAATGGTTTCAGCTTGGCAGCAGGCAGGACCTAAATTCAAAACAACAGGAGCAGCAGTGGGATGAAAAGAACTGACTTCTTAAACAGGGAGGCCACCTAGATGTAATCCCATTTACCATGAAATGCAGCAGAGTATGCTTCAGCCTAGACAAGACCCCAGCCTCAGCATTAAGCACATTCTATTTGGGGCTGGAGAAAAGGCCCCATTAATGTTTTGCCCCTGTATCTGTATCATCCAAAACCCTCCAAAAGATTCAGCAAAACAAGATTCAGGAGTGCAATCTAGCCCCGTTCAAATGGACGGTAATACTCTAGCATTACTAGCATAATGTTTAGCACATGCTGTCAGAAGCACAGGACAAGAAATGCCCCCCACCATTATCAAGTCAGGTCCCTGCTATTTGACAGTACATTGCACATCATTCACATGCACAAACTCTATCTTTACACAAGTTAGGATTTTTCACTTATACTACACTGACTGGGGGGCTGTTCCAGAGCCTCCTTAATAAAATAGTAACTTCCTTCATTCAGCCTAAATTTTTCACATCTATTGTTGTTCTTTAGCTGAAATAATACTGTTCCAATTATAGGTCAACCTTGCCCTGCCCCTCTGAAAGAGCCATAAAAGCCTCAGTCAGTTTATACACTCGGTCAACCTACAGTCAAAATAATGTGGTGCTATTGTACAGAGTAGATGGCCCTGCATAGCACCCTTCTGCAGCAGCCAATGTGGGGTTATCTTTTCCCTTATCGCTAATAAGGGCAACAAGCAGAATCAACTCCACTGTTACCGTGACAAAAGCAGATGACCCTGTACGGCACTCTTAATTGCCACCCTGGCTGCCCACCTTCACCTGCTGCCTTGGCCTTGTTTACATCATTGCCTTCTTCCTGTGTACTAGGTATTCAAGTATCTCCCAATATTTTACCCTCAAATTCTGGGAGTGTCCATACTCCTAGCCTAATCTCAACTTCTTCCATCTCACAAGAGTTGACAACCTCTTCGTCTACCTTCCCTATATTTTTTCCTCTCTTTCTTTTTGATATGCTAGTCTGAAATTGTGCGTTTCTCTGAGCAAATTACATAGGTAGATTAAAGCAGCAAACTGTTCTCTGCAGGACCACTCCCGAAAGAGTTCAGCTGAGGGCAGGAAAGAACACCTTTCAGGTTGAATGGCATCCTTAAAATATTCAGAAGTATAAACTAGAAAATTAAAAATCAAAACATCTGCAGTGCAGAGGAAAGTAAAATCACTGAGGCAGTCTTTCCAAGTAAGAGCTGTTCTCACACGTTCAGGTGTTGCACTCAAAGGAATTACTGTATTTACTGAAATACTAGATGAGGTTTTTCTCCCCCAGTTGGAATGAGGGGTGGGGGAAGCCCTTTTACTTTATAAGCACATACAATTAAATCTCATTAAATACAGTGTCTGTCATTAAACTACTGCCAAAGGCAGCACATGCTCAGCAAGGGAAACCGACTATGAAGCCATTAAACAGAATCACAGAAAATTAGGGTTGAAAGGGACCTCAGGAGGTCATCTGGCCCAACCTCCTGCTCAGAGCAGGACCATCCCCACTAGATCTTAGCCAAGGCCTTGTCTAACCAGGTCTTAAAAACCTCCAAAGATAAGGAGTCCACAACATCTCTGGGTAACCTGTCCCAGTGTTTTACTACCCTCCTAGTGAAAAACTTCCTCCTAATATCTAACCTAAACTTCCCTTGCTGAAAGTGTAGCCAACACTGAGCACAACTATAAACCATATGGCCCATATTGGGGAAACATGCTGATGGAAACCTACCACAAGAACTGGTTAGTATAGCCCACCTGAATAAGACATGCAGAAGTGGCAATTCAGTGCAGTCCCCCTCACCTCCAACTCGTTTTTCCAGTCATGGTAGGTCACAGCATTGCATACAATTCACCCAGAATCCCTCCGTTGGCCCTTCTCTCAGCCTGGCACATACGATTAGTGTGGCCCCAGCCTCCATAAGGTGAAGTCAGACCAAATTGCTCTGCTCCCCACCTTCATATACATTATGGACCATCCTAGGACTCATAACAAGAACACCCAGTTCCTGTTCCAGTCATGAGTTGGGGTTCATTAGCACATGGGTCCTTTATGGTGGTGTGGGGAGGGTATCTGGAGTACACGCACATACTGAGCAGTGCTGAGCTGTGGGATCACCATCGCTTGAAATGCTGTTGGCTTTACTTGTGCCCGGGCCAAGAAACCGCCTGGTAAATCACAAGCCTTTGGCTTTGGACCAATATCATGCATAGTCTGTACTACATATAAGTAGGTGCCGAAGTGCTGCTCAAAAGTGTGTTTATGAAGTACCTGTGCTAAAACTTCCAGTAGATTCAAAAAAAGGTAATACAAATCAATTCTGAATAAGCTAAGTGTACGGGTACTATAATGAAAATTGCTACAGCCATGTTTAATTTTAAAGGTTATTGTTTTTAAATTTGCTCCTCACTTCCATA